TTCCCTGTTGATTTAGAAAATAGGCAATCATGTGCAACCGAATTCAACTGGGAATTTCTCCTCTAGGTGACTTCCATCTTGCACCTGAGAAGGGGGTTGGTGGCAGGTCAGACTGCCAAACCTGTGTATAGCGGCCCTTGTAAACTGTTCAGTTCTCTTCCAGGAAAGAAGGGTGGAGGAGTCAGGCAATGTCTTTCATTTCACCCTATATCAACATGAATGGCATGAAGAGATTTTTTTTGAGGACAGTCACTTTGATTGTTACCTTTCAGGGTAAAATACAGTCTTGCTGGCTTCAATGGATTCTTGAATACTGAGCTGAATATCATAACTTGTCAGATGATCTTCATCAGGGTCGTCATTAGTATCCATGACTGAATAGAATTTTGAAAGAAGCAATTTCTTATTATCAGCCAATGGCAAAGAGCACCATAGAGTTAACACGAAAGATGCAAAATGAAAAACTAAAATGCATTCACCTTTCTCCATTTAACAAACACAAGCACAGTTAACATTTTAATCCATGTTATATATGAAGCCCATTTGTTCTAACATTTGAAGTCTGTAAATACCTGCCCTTTGGTATTTTCTAATTTTAACTTTCTTTTCTGTAACAACTACAGTTGAGCTTACAAGAATTCACTTTTTCCACTTCTGAGTTACAATAATGTTGGCCCTTGAGTTTCCTCAAGACATTGTTCTACATAGCACATTAGAAGTTTAAAACTCTACGTGAGAAGAAGTAAGGCAGTGGCAAGAATGGAGAACAGTCTTTAGAGAACATTCTGTCTTAATTCTGTCTGCTGTGTTTTCTTATATGCTGATTAATTCCTCTTCTCACACCAGCAATGGTTTGAGTTGGCTGCCTTGAACTGCGGTTATTTCTGCATCTGTGTTCAACTTCTTGTAACAGACTCTGTGCTTTTTGAGATGAAGGGCTTTCCCTCACTTATCTCTGCACCCCCTTCTATTCTAGAAGGTGCTTGGCACACGGAAGCTCTTCAATGAATATACCGGAGGTGCCAAAAAAATGTATACAAGTGGACACTTCGGTCAATGTTGCTCAAGCAGTGGTTCGCCGTCATCAGAAGTGCCTGGATGCTGATGGGAACCACATTGAGCACCTCTTGTCATTGCAGAAGTCAAACATGACTTGTATTCATCTTTTGTTATCAGTAAATATCGAATATTACAATTTTAATACAGTTTTCCTTTCTTAAAATACATATACAATTTGGGGGCACCCTCTGTGTTCATTGAATTAAAGTAGAGAGAATGGAAAGTCACAAATGTAGCGGCCTAGCCTTGCCCTCAGGAAATTTGAAGAGTTGAGATAAAGACCATCCTAACTCCATCCCCAGACCAGGGACCAGCCTTCCTATTCTGCCCCCTGCAGTTATATGCATTGTGAGCCACTGCTCTTAATTGGCCCATGTCCTCTGAAGGTAATGAACAAAGGTATAAATTATTTCTCATTGGCATGTTTCTTCCAATTATCAATTTAGAAGAGTGAGTGTCTCAGTACTACTGGATCAATTGTTTTGTATAGAAAATTTATTAAGTGTACAATTGCAAATAGGTCTACAGCTAGATTGACTGACCAATATAAAATGATTTTTCATTAGTGGTACTTTTCAAGCCAAAATGTGTTATCTATCTGAAAATTTACACTGTAGTGTGTCTTTTCAAGGGGAATAAAAAAGAAAGAGTACTCTTGGGCAATTTCTAAAACACAGTTGACACTTGCATCACCTTTTCTCATTGTCAAGGTTAAATAAGCTCAGATTTTAAGGACAGTTCTAATACATGCTTATAGCCAAGGGCCCTGACCTGTGCATGCACAGACTACACACAAACCCAGTGGTATCATCATGTTTTTATTGTTCATTGCTCTGCAAGAGTGGCCTTATTATCACCTTGAGGCGGAAAGGAGAGAATAGTGATAAAATTTGGAGGCTGCCCATGAGTCAGTAACAGCACTCCATGAAGCATGTTTTCTAACACTGTGATATCTCAGTGTACTCAGAGGCCAACATGTGCCCTAGGGATTCTATGCAACAAATAGATTCAAGTGGTATGTTATTTTATTTTTTTATTGTGTACTGTTGCATTGTC